CACATCAGAGGATGAAGCGCATAAGGAGACGGAGATGGTGAAAGATGTGGGTGATGGCGAAGGCAGGTCGAGTAGGAGGGAGCGCGGAGAGAGAAAGGAGGAAAGGAAGAGGTTGGGGGAGGGGGCGCGGAGAGAGAAAGGAGGAAAGGAAGAGGTTGAGGTCGGGCAGGTTGGGTAGGAGGGAGCACTTGAGAGAGAAAGGAGGTCTGGCTGAAATCGAGAGGACGCGGACGGAGGAAAAAAAGTGAGCAGTCAGCGTTCGAGCGGGGGCAGCGGAAGCAGTTGCAACCCTCTCTCTCTCTCTCTCTCTCTCTCTCTCTCTCTCTCTCTCTCTCTCTCTCTCTCTCTCCTCTCTTCTCTCTCTCTCTCTCTCTCTCTCTCTCTCTCTCTCTCGCTCTCTCACACACGCACACACACACGCACACACACACACACACACAGAGTTCACGGAAGACCGACGAACAAATGACGACGATGAACGCAGTTACGTGTAGATAGGCTGAGTAGTGTAGGCTTTGCGCTGGGCGAAAGACGATAGGAGCGACATTTGATACTGTGATTGTGTGGCCAGAGAGCGTTGTCATTGACATACGAGTTCATTGTAAGGCTCTTATTTGGATGTTAACTTGCCGCATTGTGCTCTCTACTTGGTACATCATTATCTGGTCTATCGATCTCGGTCATATTCGTTGCCGAAAAAAAAAAAAAAAAAACACCGAAAATTAGCAGGCACGATAGGTCTCCCAATCCCTAAAAAAAAAACGAAGTAGAAAAAATAAATGAAATAAATGATCCAAACTTCGAACTGCAGATGTAACGAAAACATAACGACCGACCTGCAAAAGGAAAAAAAAATATATTGCAAGTTGGCAAGTTTGGAATAAATCTCATTTTCTCCAAAGAGAGAATTTCGATTTTCTGCAGAAAAAAAAAAAAAAATCTTCGAAATTTCATAGTTAGGCGGAAATCGCGACAGAAATTATTTAGGTTATCCTAGTCGAACAATCAATCAATCAATCAATCCATCAATCAATCAATCAATCAATCAATCAATCAATCAATCAATCAATCAATCACATAATCAATTTATCAATCAATCAATCAATCAATCAATCAATCAATCGATCAATCGGTCAATCAATCAATCAATCAATAATCAATCAATCAATCAATCAATCAATCAATCAATCAATCAATCAACCTACCAATCAATCAATCGATCAATCAATCGAGGTCTGATGTCCTATTTCACTCGCTTCGCTCCAATACCAACTGATACACGCTCCATCGAGCGATGTATATGGAGCCAAAGGATACGCAAAGTGATAAAAAGAACTCGAATGGACAATGCAGCATCAGCAAAGCATCAACAAGCAATGTACATCCACATACATTCAAAAATAGCATAATGTAGCGCAGTGGAAGACTCAAAGACATGACCTGACCTGTCAGATACTGACGCGACTCAACCCATCACAAACCACACATGTGAGAGAGAAGGAGGGACTGCACAGATAGAAGAAAAGGTCCCTCCTTGGATACGCACATGGGTCAATACCACGGATGGGGTGAGGGAGGAGGAGCAAGAAGATAACGTCCCTCCTTGGATATGCACAGTCCTACTCAACAACTAAAGCAGCCCACCCAACCACCCGCCCAACCGCCCAACCGCCCAATCAATCAATCAATCAAACACACACACACACACACCCACACACACACACACACACACACACACACACACACACACACACACACACACAC